CCTTGCCATTGCCCCAATCTGGTGGTCCTGTACTGCAGGACACAGGACAGAGTCTACATCTAAATAAGCTGTGTCTCAGCTGCATGCAATATGTGAGTGTATGCATCTGTGTGGCATGCTCATGTATATGTGTCTCCATGGGCATGCATGTGTGCATGTGTGAGTGTGGGTTTGTGTGCTGTCCCAGGTGGGAGGTGTTGCTGGGCGTCCACAGGAGTCCTCAGTGCTGGAGGATGTGGTGAAGCCTGGAGCTGGGAGCCTGCCTGGACAGGGCCGGCTGAGGCTTCTTGCTCCTTAATGACCTAGGTAAGGTGGGCCCAGAACGGGTTCCCACTTGGTTAGAAAGTTACAAGTAAGCTGGGATGTGGGAACTGGCAGGAGGTTAGACAGGGCCTGGAGAGAGAGCATGAGATGAGTGGGCTTTGAGCCTGAGCAGTTTGAAAACCCATTTTGAGGCTAGACCTCAGTGGGAGGGCCTGGATTGGGGAGAGAGGGGACCAATGGGCTGCTTGGAGGGAGCCAGGTTGCAAGTGTTTCTCAGACCCTTACGCACAGGATACCACCAGCCTTTAGACTCCCCAGACTTAGCTGGGGACTCAGTGTCCCTGACCCCTGGGTTGAGGGTCAAGCTCCAGAGTTCTCCTGGACAGTGAGACCAGCTGGCCCTTTTGTTGACCTTGGTAGTGGCCCAAGAAACAGGCCTGTGAATTCTCTGGTTCTTCCACATACTGCCTGTTCCCAGGGGCTGGCCTTGACCCATCTCCATCCTGGGAATGACTAACTGACTGACAACCACCCCAGGCTCCCGGCCACCCACTCACTCCACCCCAGGACAGCCCTGTATATGGTACCTACCTTCCCCGTGAGGGTGCCACACTCTGATCTTTGGAAAGTAGTGTCTCCTGTTTTAATTTAAATGTTCCCATTAGTCAGGAGCTTAACTATCTCCTCAGGCACTCAGGAGACATATGCACCTACTTGTCTTTGCTCTTACTGTGTTTCTTAAAGGTGCTCCTGATGACCTCTTGGAACTCTGCAAGGCAATCATTCCAAATGCCAGTTCCTGGTTTGTTTCACATTTGTTTTATCAATTAATCCCTATCTCCTTGCATTGCTTATCATGGCCTCCTTTAACAGAAATTCTTATGTAGTCACTGATAGATTGATTTTAGAGAAAGAGGAAGGGGGAGAGAGAGAGACAGACAGACAGACATACATTGATTTGTTGTTCCTCTTATTTATGCGGTCATTGGTTGATTCCTGTATGTGCTCTGAAGAGGGATCAAACCTACAACCTCCTCCTACTATAGAGACACTCTAACCAGCTTAGCTATGCATCCAGGGCAATTTAACAGAAATTCTCGATTTCTATGTCATCAAATTCATTGGCTTTCACCCTCAGGCTTGTGTCTTTGGCGGTTGAAGAACCCTGTTACCAACTGTAGGAGTGTCCTGTGGCTCCTGTAGCAAAATGCCACAAATGTGGGGGTGTAAAACTGAACGAACTCATTCCCTTCCATTCTGGATGGTAGCAGTCCAACACTACACTTTGAGCAGGGATAACCTCCCTCCAAATGCTCCAGGGAGCATCTGGAAGCTACTGGCATCACTCCAATCTGTTTCCGTCTTCACATGGCCTCCTGCCTCACATGTTTCTGTGTGTCATGTCCTCTTCTAAGGCCACCAGTAATTAGACTTGGGGCCCATGCAAAATTTAGAAGGACCTCAAGACCCTTAACCTAGTGTTATTTGTGAAGATCCTATTTCCAAATGAGTCAACCAGACCAAGGCTGTCTCCAGCTCTCCCAGCCTGGCTGGTCCAGTTTTTATTGACTTTGGGTGGCATCCACATGGAAACAGTCCTCCTGTGGGGCTTCCATCACACACCCCTATAGGGTGCGAAGCAGCAGTCAGGGCTCAGTTGTCCATCCCACCTCTCAGGATTTCCCACTGGTGTCCACTGCCTGACCTGGCCTCACTCACTGTTCACCAAGTTTCTGCAAACAGCCAAGCTTTTTCTGAGCCCTCCATGTGTGGGTATGATAGTCTGCAGGGGCAAAATACTTTTGCAATGATGTTTTGTGCAAATGCTAACATTTATAGGGAGAGTATCCCTGAACCTCTCATCATTTACTCTTACTCTTCGGAATTGTCCAATCTGTAAATGCATCTCAAAAGCCGACAGACAGACACACATAAAACCAACCCAGATGGAATTTTTATTGGAGTACATGGCAAAGTAGTGGGGTCACAGAGCCCCAAATCATATTGATGCTGTGACCCATGTGACCTCTCCTCCACCCAGGCCCCATGTGTGCTGGTCCCAGGCTATCAGGCCCTGCTGCACCTTCAACATGGCATCTGCTGGTGACAGCCCACCATCAACAGAGGAGGCCAGAGGAGCTGTAGGCTCCTGGGTAGAGAGACACGTGTGGGTCTCGCTCTGGAGGCCAAGTAAGTGTGGGAAGGGGAGTGTGGTGAGTTCTGCAGCAACAAGGCACCCTGATGGATCCTGATGGTGCGTACTTGAGTGTGTGTGTGATGGGAAGGCCTCTGTGTGTGTGCAAGCACCTGTGTGTGTGAATGTGTAAAACACAGAGGTATGAATGCTGGAGCTGGTGCTCAGACTGTGGGCTGCACCTGGTGAGGAAGGGCCTCAGGGCTCACGTAGGCACTGCTGTAGGGGCTCAAGCACAGGTAGTCTTGAGAAGAGGTGGTCTAGGAGAGGTTTGGGGCCCTGTGTGCAATGTTCGTGGGTGGTCATGGGTGGGAGCCTCAGGGTTGGAGGTCAGTCCCTGAGGGCACTCCTGCCAGGAGGACTAAGGCTGTAGTCCAAGGCAGGGCCTCCTGTTTAGCAAGGAGGACACTGTGTCAGTGGTGTGGATATGATCCTGAAGAAGGTATGAGCTGGCTAGAGGTGCCTGCCTTGGTCTTAGAGATGGAAGTGATGGGGCAGGGCCTGGGGACAGAGAGGTAGAGGGGGCTAAATTAAGTGTAAGAGATGAAGGGGGTGGGGTGACCCTCAGTACAATCATCTGGATCCCTGGAGTCATGGAGACCCCCAGCCTGCCTGGCTGGCTTCTGGCAGGCCAGATACGCTACTGGACTCCTGCTAGCCATGCCACTGACTCCTGTGGGTGATCCGGCTGCCAATGGAGCAAAGATGCTCCAAGCTGGAGTGGCACTTCCCCATCACCTTGGGTCTCTGGCGCTGTCCTGGTAGAGGCCCTTCCTCAATATCCCCCATGCTGGAGCCCACCCCAGTCCATGGAGGTCTACGTCTGTCCCAGCCAACACCGGGCACACCCACCTTCCTGTCTTGGAGCTTTTACTGAGAAGGGCTGAAAGCTGAGCACTGCCTTGGCCCCCAAAGGCTGTGTCTCCACAGCCCAAGGGCCTGGCCAGGAAGGATGGGCCTTGCCCCATCTCTGTGAAGGACAGCCCTCATTTATCATCTCTGGCCTGTTGGCCATCATTAGTCTGTGGCATCTACCTGGACCACCTTCCTCACCCTTCCTGGAGGCCCCCACCCCCCACCCTCCTGGGAGTTGCTTGTCTACCCTGTGCAAACCCAAGTCAAATTCAGGTCTTGGGACCTCTCCCCTGATGGTGTCTCACTGCCCACATCTGTGCGGACACCAGGACAGGCAGCCCTTCTGGCCTGGCCTTCACTGCCCCTCCCACCCGATCCCTGTTCCTTACACCCACTCTCCTGTTTGGGGCTGAATTGTTGCCCCCACGTTCACATGTTGAAGTGCTAACCCCTGCACCTGAGAATGTGATTGGATTTGGAAACAAGGTCTTTGGAGAAGTAATAAGTTAACGTGAGGTCAATAAGATGGGTCCTAATCCAATATGACTGGTGTCCTAATAAGAGGAGGAGATTGGGACAGGGACACACAGAAGGATGGCCATATGAGAACACAGAGGAGGTGGCCATCCACAAGCCCAGGAGAGAGGCCTCCAAAGGCTATCCCTGTGATACCTTCCCATGGGACCTCTGGCTCCTGGACAGGGACAGAATCTATGCCCCCTGTTTCATCCCCCAGTCTGTGTTGACTGACACACCCAACATGTGTGCCCTGGTTCTTGCCACAGGCTGCCTGCTTCCAGCCCCTTGTGCTTGTGCAACCCCGGTGCCCCCTTGTTTCTGGGCTACCTTCCTCACTGCGTGGGAGCCAGGAGGGCAGGAAGAGATGGAGGGCTGGCAGGTTCTGGTGCAGGGAGAGTGGGTAGGGGAGATGCATGACTCGGCCAGGCTGTGGATTTTGTGACTTGTTGCCAACACCAGAAAACTCAGATGAGTTATGGAATTTTTAGGATGTTTTATTGTCATAAAAAACTAAAAACAGTAAAGAAAACTAATGAGATCCAGCAAATAAAAAAGAAAAGAAAAAGCAACCCAAGCTATAATGTGGCTTTTCCTTTGAGTAATCTCTCTCTGCACATCCCCTATACTCATGGGGTCTACATCTCCCTCTCTCCTGTCTAGATAAGCCAACGTGGCTCTTGTTGGAGATCTGGACCTCCGCCCAGCCCACCCTGCTTGTTCCCCATGACAGGGGGAATGCTCTGCTTTGTTAAGTACTCTGGACTCTCATGACTCTCCCCCATTGGAGCAGGGGGAGGCCCTGGGAAGGGGTGAGGTGGCAGGACTCACATGCCCTACACCCACTTTCCTGCTTTTCTGCCACTATGTACCTCAATGCCCATATCCTTGGCCTCCTCTGTCCACTAAGGAGGCTGTGTCCCACCTGCTTGGGGACCTGGTAACCAGGCCCCTACCCAGGACGGTTGTAGGTAGACACCACCTCTTCCTAGGCAGTACTTCCCAGCACCCCTGGGCCCCTGCAGCAGCCTGGCCCAAGCACCTCTCTGAGGGTCTCCTCTAGTGGTAGTCATCTAGGTGACCACTAGAGCCCATCCCAAAGCTCCCCTGGTGGGCAATCAGTACCCTTACAGAACTCCAGCCCCCAAACTTCCAGAACTTTGGACCCTACCCAATGGGCTCCAGGAATACAGGGCCCCCACCTCCTCCAGGTAGACTTGGGTGCTGACCCCAGGCAGAGCCATCCTGGGATGGGAATACCCCACACTGATGCTCTTGGTGTCCACATGGCCCCTGGCGATGTCCTGGGGACTGCCATGCAGAAGCCAGCAGGTGTCCATCAGCTCAGACTGGGGGCAGAACCTGCTGTCTACCTGGTTATCCTAAGGGATGGGTCAAAGGGCAGGATGCAGCCTAGGATGGCTGTGAAACCAGATGGCAGAAGCACAGGCCCAGGGTGGCCATGGGGTCAGAAGGTGGTGAGGTCAAATTCAGCAAGGTCCAAGGGTGGAGGAGCAGGCCTGAGCAGCAGGTTGAACAGCATGAACCAGTAGACCCAGGTCCTGTGCAGGTTGGGGGCAGTTCTGGATGCCTGCCCCAGAGGGCTGGCACTAAGCCCCCTGTCCAATCATGTTCCTGTAGTCAGGGACAATGGTCCGCTTCAGCTCCACCACCGAAGAAAAGATCCACTTCACCTGCAGGGAGTGAGTGCCCAGGACCTCTCATCAGCCTCCATGGGGCTGGGGAGGACTGAGTGAGGATGGCATGGAGACAGGGAGCAACTGTGTGGGAACAGTGAGAAACAATGAGGAACAATGGGTGATAACATGGGGACAATGACAGACTGTGAGTGTCAGTGTGGGGACAACGTGGAGACAGCATGGCGGGTATGTGGACAGTGTGTACATGGCATAGAGGCAGTGTAGGGACAACATGGGGTCAGTGTGGGGACAGTGTGAGGACAATGTGGGACAGCATGGGGACATCATAGCATCAGTGTGGGGACAATGTTTGTTCAGCATGGGGCAGTATGGGGACAGAATGGGGCCAGTGTGGAAGCAATTTGGGGACAGCGTGGGAACAGTGTGGCAACAGCAGAGGGAGTGTGCAGACAACATGGGGTCAGTGGGGGGAAAACGTGAGGAAGATATGGGGACAATGCGGGGTGGTGTGTGGACAATTTGTGGACCTCGTGAGGATGGCATGAGGATGGTGTGGGGACAGAGTGGGGACAGCATGAGGACAGTGTGCAGACAGCAGGGGGATAGCATGGAGACAATATGGGGATGGCAGGCCCACCTTGAAAAGGGTGACCGTGGCACTGTAGCACACGCTGAGCAGGAAGAGGGTGATGAAGATGGAGATGGTGGTCCATAGCCCGTCCAGCTCTCCATCCTGGGCCTCTGCACAGCTCTCGTCCAGGAGCATCCCTGGACAGAGAGGAGGAGGTCAGTGCTGGTGGCCATGGGAGGCTGGCTTGGGGCTGGTAGGGCCTCAGAATCTCTTCTGTGACAGGGTGGAGCCCTCCCAGACTGGGCCAGTGGAACCCAGCTTCCCCATCCTCTACCTCAGGCCCCAGATCTCAACCTGGCCCAGGGGGTTGCCCCTTTCCTCTCTGAAGCCCCCACTGGGCCTTGTGCAGATGAGGTGAGCTGACCTCTCAGTCCAGTCTGTTCTGCAGTCCCCCAGCTCTCTGCCTTCCCCACAGGGTTCAGAGGGTGGGAGGGGCCCCTGCCCTAGGAAGAGCTAGCGCCAGGTCAATGTTGGGTGTGCTGAGGCAGAAAGGCCAGCCCAAGGGCTGGTCTGGGTATAGTGGGGAGGATTTTTGCACACTGAACAAGGAGCGTGGTATCTGAGCTGGTCAGTGTGTGTGTGAGCTACTGGGTGGGCCCTGGGGCATTGGAGGTGGTGGGGTTGGGCTGGTGTCCCTGGTATGGGTAAGGACCTGCTGTGTTCTGTGACCTGGGCCTGTGCAGTGTGTCTAATAGGAGGCTCCAGAGTAAAGCCTGTGTGCACACATGCATGTGTGTGCTTGTAGTAAGTGCATGTGTATGCGAAAGTGGCCATGTGAGCTGGTGCTGGTCAGTGGGAGTAACTATTTTTCGGTAGGCCCGGGCTCAGCATCCATGTGGGCATTTGGATAGTACCTCCCGTTGGGCTCCAGAGTGCCTGTTTCTGCCCCTTTGGGGTAATAGGGTGAGCATCCTTCTGAGTAGACAGGCCTGGCCCCAGGCAGGAGAAGGCTGGGCTGAGCCCCCTAGTCAGAGGGAGGGTGGGAGACCTGCTTTCCAGAGTGAGACAGGGCCTATTCCCACACCATGGGCCAGACCTCCTTCTATCTGGGCACAGAGCCACCTTACAGAACCTGGGAGAGGTGCAGTGGACTGGAAACCCTAGAAAGAAGAACAGCAAGGTCCCACAGCACAGGCTCATATAGAAGTGGGGAACACTGGGCTCTCATGTCCCAGAGGGGATCCAGAGGGGGATCCAGAGGGGTTTCTCCTGTTCCCTGTCTACTCCTCCAGTCCAGAGTAGTTGCTGGCTAGGGAGGAGGCTGGAGGAGTGGCCTCTATTGGTGAAGCCCCGTCCCCTCTTGCTGGTGCCTGCAGACCTGGAGGCTTGGGTTCCACCCAAGTGGGACCACCCGGTTCCCCTTCATGGTGACAACCAGCCACAGAGCCCAGCCTGGGCTCTGCCTTGGAAAGAACTGTGACAGTGTGGCAGGGTCCCAGGGCAGCGCTGGGTGCTTTATTTAATGCTGAGCCTGGGGCATGTACATGGGGTGGGGTCGCTGGGTAATGGGCACGTTGCTCATTTACCCGGAGTCTGGGAGATGGACTTCTGGGTGTAGTGATTGTGCAGAGCCTCGTGCATCACTGCACATGTGAAGGTCTGTCCCTGCATCCACCTAGCTTTTTCCACCGAGAGCTTGCTGTACAGGAAGTAGAAACCATCCTTGTCCTTCATCGGCGGGGTTGTAGTATACTTGGTCTCTGGCTCTGGCTTCCCATTGTTCTGCCACTCCACATTGATTTCTGTCGGGTAGAAGTCTTTGACCAGGCAGGTCACACTGACAGTGCTCTTGGACAGCTCGTCCATGTGTGGGGCCAGGACATACACCTGGGGCTCCTGGGCTTGTCCTGTGGGATGGGGTCAGCACAGATGGTCACTTTCAGGTAGGAGTCTGGCCCCCCAGGACCCACCCCTCACCTGTCTGCTGTCCCTACCTGGGGTCTTGGAGATGGTCTTCTCAATGGGGGATGGGAGAGACCCACTGTTGACCTTGCACTTGAACTTTTTGCCGTTCAGCCAGTCCTGGTGTGCGACTGAGAAGGCATCGACCACACGGTAGGTGCTGTTGAACTGCTGCTCCTCTGCCTTTGTCTTAGCTGTTCTCTTCTTTTCGCCATCCACATACCAGGTGAACTCTACTTCGAGGTCATCTGGGGCCACATCCACCACCATACATGTGACCTTGGGCGTCAGGGAGATCATGAGGATGTCCTTGGGTTTCGGGGGAAAGATAAAGACCGAAGGCCCTCCTGAGGACTCAACTATTGGTGTAAAAGATACAGTGGACAGAGGTCAGTATCTAGAAGGGCCTCCCTTGGACACTCATTCCCTGCCATGGGCCACACCTGGGCTCGGACCACCTCCTTGGCATGGCTGACTCACCTGGGCATGTGCATGGATTTGGTTCATGTTCTGAGGGCACTGGAACTGTAGAGAGAGCACACTGATGGTTACTGAGGCCTAGGTGTAGTTACTAAGCCCTGGGGTTGTGTTTAGGTCAGAGCCAGAACTTAGCAGGTGTGAGACCATCATCCTTCTCCAGGGTCCCTGAGGCTGGGGTAAGGATGTCCAGCCTGTGCCCACCCTGCGCCTGGTAGAAATGCCCAGAGTTCTCATCCCTGAGCTTGAGTGGCCTTCAGGATAGGCTTCAGACTGTCAGTGCCTCCCCCTACTGCTCTAGGCTAGGACAGCCATCCCTGTTTCATGGTATGTCCAGGCAGGGAGCTGCCCGAGCCTGTCTCTCAGTGGACGTTCCCCAGTGACTGAGTTCTTACCTTTCTTGTCCACCCTGGTGGTGCTGGCTGGGTGGGCTACGTTGCAGGTATATGTCTGGCTGGACAAGCTGCTGGCAGGCACTGTCACCATGCTGCTCAGAGAGTAGAGCCCTGACTGCAGGATGGAGGGGAAGGTGTGCACGCCACTGGTCAGGGCACCTGAGTTCCAGGACACAGTCACCGGCTCAGGGAAGTAGCCGGAGACCAGGCAGCCCAAGGACACTGTGGAGCCGGATGTGGTCCCACAGCTCGAAGACAGTGGAAAGACTTTTGGGGCCGTGGTGGTGGCTGCAAGAGAGGAAATCATGTGATTGCCAAGGCCTCAGCTGGGAAGTGTGAACAGGCTATCAGGGATCCAGGCCTGGGACATCGACCAGTCCAGTGCCCTAGGCTAATGGTGCAGCCACCCATGTGGATCTCTGCCATCCAGACCTCATGCCTCTGTGACCGCAGGCACTGAACTCACCAGCTCAGCCAGTGCTGCATGACTACCTGAACACAAGTTCCCCGAGTCCCCCAAGTACTCAATCCCCTGGTGCCCACAGAGCCCTCTGAGCCCTGACCCATGGCTCCTGCTTCTGGCTGGCTCATGTGGGTTGGTCTCTTGTTCTGTCACCAGCCTGACCCTGCCCTGGGTGTGAAGTCCCCTTGGTGCAGCAGGGCTCTGCCTGTGCTCTGCTGCCAGCCCTGTGGCCAGATCCCCTGTCATACAGGCTGTCTGTCCCTCTGGGTGAGCTGTGCAGCCAAGATACCACCCCAGTCCCCATCCCCACCTTGGACCCTCTCCCTGCCCTGTACCTTGTCCATAGGAGACCCTGCCCCATCCCTGTGGTTCCCCAGCCCAGGATACTAAGTCTATGCCTCTGGAACCATCTGCTTCTTCTTGTGTCTTTGTGGCTTCCTGTGCTCACACATGTCATTGGCCACCCAGCTCTTGTTCAGTCCTGGTCCTTCCTGAGCCCAGCCAACTTCTCAGCATGGCTGGGAGCCTGGTACTGGCCTTGGCATCCCTCTCCTGCATGGCACCAGTGACCCAAGCACCAGTGTGGCCAGGGTGTACTCCCACCCCAAGGCCAGGCCTGTTCCCCAACTCTGATCCCATCAGCTTGGCCCTAGAGCTCTGCCCTGAGGCCACCTATTTCTTCCCATCCCCATCCCAAGATGGAAACCCTGGCTCAGGCCCTAAATTGCCCTCCTAAGTCCCTCTGAGGGGTTCTTGGCCCTGTGCCACCCTAAATCTTCGCAGCTCCCTACAACAGGAACTGGTGCCTCGGCCCAAGAACTGAGATCATTGTGGTTTCCTCAAGGGCCTACTTGCTCCTTCCCTTCTGAGCCTTTCCTGCCCAGGGCCCCCTAGGCACCCCAACGTGCTGTCCACCAGGCTCACCTGTCCCCAGTGGCTCTCTCTGCTCCCTCCCAGCTCAGCTCCCACCTCCTCCAGGGCTCCTTTTAGCTCAAGACCTGCCTTGGTCCCCCAGAACTCTGGGGCTGCACACATCCTCTCCCCTCCTCCCAGCTCACTGGTATATGCTCTACCTGCTACCCAGAGATCCTGGTCCAGGGGCTACTCTCTCTTACAGCCTTATAGGCTCACCTCATCCCACTGCTCTTCTGAAGCCCTCCCTGCCCACATTCCTCTTCCTGGACCCTCACATGAGCTCAGTGCCCCTTGTCCATCAGTCTCTTGCCTCTGCTCATGTGAGGTCCAGTTCTGCCAGCTCAGGCCCCCACTCTCCTTGTCTAGGGGCCCTTGCTTTCCCCACTCCAGGGTCAGCTCTCTATTTTCCTGCATATCCACTTGCCTTCTACTCACCTGCATAGTTCTGCCAGCCCCCCTAGAGCACCAGGTGCATATTCCTGCCTTCTTCTTCCCCTCAACTTGCCCCCTGCTCACCAGCATAGCTCTTCAAGATTGTTCTGGAGCTCCAGGAGCAGCTCCCTATCCTCCCACCTGCTCCTGCTCACCTGCATAGCTCTGCCAGATCTCCTAGGAGCTCCTAGGGCAGCTCCCTGCCCTTCTACCCTCAATCCTGCCTCCTGCTCACCTGCATAGTTCTACCAGCTTCCCTAGAGCTCCAGGGGCAGCTTCCTGTCTTCCTGCCCTCCCATCTGTTCCCTAATCACCTGCATAGCTCTGCCAGCTCTCCCAGGAGCTCCTAGGGCAGCTTCCTGCCCTTCTACCCTCAATCCTGCTTCCAGTTCACCTACATAGCTCTGCCAGTTCCCCTAGAACTCCAGGGGCAGCTTCCTGTCTTCCTGCCCTCACATCTGTTCCCTAATCACCTGCATAGCTCTGCCAGCTCTCCCAGGAGCTCCTAGGGCAGCTTCCTGCCCTTCTACCCTCAATCCTGCTTCCAGTTCACCTACATAGCTCTGCCAGTTCCCCTAGAACTCCAGGGGCAGCTTCCTGTCTTCCTGCCCTCACATCTGTTCCCTAATCACCTGCATAGCTCTGCCAGCTCTCCCAGGAGCTCCTAGGGCAGCTTCCTGCCCTTCTACCCTCAATCCTGCTTCCAGTTCACCTACATAGCTCTGCCAGATTCCCTAGAGCTCCAGGAGAAGCTTCCTGTCTTCCTGCCCTCCCTCTTGCCCCCTACTCACCTAAGTAGCTCTGCCAGCTCCTCCTGGTGCTCTTGGGGCAGCTTCCTGCTCTCCTGCCTCCCCACCTGCTCCTGCTCACCTGCATAGCTCTGCCAACTCTCCCAGGAGCTCCTAGGGCAGCTCCCTGCCCTTCTACCCTCAATCCTGCTTCCAGTTCACCTACATAGCTCTGCCAGCTCCCCTAGAACTCCAGGGGCAGCTTCCTGTCTTCCTGCCCTCCCATCTGTTCCCTAATCACCTGCATAGCTCTGCCAGCTCTCCCAGGAGCTCCTAGGGCAGCTTCCTGCCCTTCTACCCTCAATCCTGCTTCCAGTTCACCTACATAGCTCTGCCAGTTCCCCTAGAACTCCAGGGGCAGCTTCCTGTCTTCCTGCCCTCCCATCTGTTCCCTAATCACCTGCATAGCTCTGCCAGCTCTCCCAGGAGCTCCTAGGGCAGCTTCCTGCCCTTCTACCCTCAATCCTGCTTCCAGTTCACCTACATAGCTCTGCCAGCTCCCCTAGAACTCCAGGGGCAGCTTCCTGTCTTCCTGCCCTCCCATCTGTTCCCTAATCACCTGCATAGCTCTGCCAGCACACCCAGAACTCCAGAGCCAGCCCCCTGCCCTCCTGTCTTCCCACCTGCTCCTGCTCACCTGCATAGTTCTGCCAGCTTTCCTAGAGCACCAGGTGCATATTCTTGCCTTCTTCTTCCCCTCAACTTGCCCCCTGCTCACCAGCATAGCTCTGCAAGATTGTTCTGGAGCTCCAGGAGTAGCTCCCTATCCTCCCACCTGCTCCTGCTCACCTGCATAGCTCTGCCAGCTTCCCTAGAGCTCCAGGAGAAGCTTCCTGTCTTCCTGCCCTCCCTCTTGCCCCCTACTCACCTAAATAGCTCTACCAGCTCCCCTAGAACTCCAGGGGCAGCTTCCTGTCTTCCTGCCATCCCATCTGTTCCCTAATCACCTGCATAGCTCTGCCAGCTCTCCCAGGAGCTCCTAGGGCAGCTTCCTGCCCTTCTACCCTCAATCCTGCTTCCAGTTCACCTACATAGCTCTGCCAGCTCCCCCTAGAACTCCAGGGGCAGCTTCCTGTCTTCCTGCCCTCCCATCTGTTCCCTAATCACCTGCATAGCTCTGCCAGCACACCCAGAGCTCCAGAGCCAGCCCCCTGCCCTCCTGTCTTCCCACCTGCTCCTGCTCACCTGCATAGTTCTGCCAGGTATCCTAGAGCTCTAGGGGCATCTTCCTGTCTTCCTGTCCTTTCGCCTGCCCCCTGATCACCTGCATAGCTCTGCCAGCTCCCCAGAACTCCACGGACAGCTCTCTGCTCTCATGTTCCTCTAGCTGCCCCCATTGAGCTGCAGTTGTCTTGCCCCTTGTCCCTAGCCTGCTGTACTACAAGAGCCCCTTGCCCTTTCTGCTCTAGGATCCAGTTTCCCATATGTCTGTGAGTTCCATCCAGGCTGCCATGTCCCCCATGTCTCCCTCTGGGCTTCCTGCCAGTTCCAGAGCCCGCAATCCCATTCTGCTCCACTTCTGGCCTCACCCTGTTCTGTCAGACGCTGGGCTGTGCCCACCCTTTCTTCAGCTGGCTGTCCCACACAGCCTCTGCCCTGCCCTGGGCCCTCCCAGAGGAGCTCGCCATCTCTGTTTCCCCCACCCCTGGGAATTCCATGGATCTTTGATTCTTCTAGTTTCAGGTCAGCTGCCCTGTGCCCAGCAGTTTTGTCTCAGAGCACTGGTTCCTGTCCCTTGCCCACTACCTGTGGGGCTCTCCACTGATCCCATGAACAACTATCCTGTTGGGCCCCTGCCTCCTGCTTCCCTTATCCCAGGGCTCCTAGCTTCCTCCTGTGACTCTGCCCATTGTCCTGCACTGGACACTTGGGTCACCAGGGGTCTTTTTCTTCCCTGAGCTAAGCCAGCCCCCTTCTTGCCTCCTGGGTTGAGACCCACTGTCCACCCAGGAGCAGCCTTGCAGGGCGGCCTCCAGCCAAGCCTCTACCCTGCCCACTGGCCAAGTGTAGCCCTGACTTTGACCTCCAGCTCCTCATCGTTCTCAGGCCATGGATGACCCACAGCTCAGTGTCCTCTATGAACTTCTGGAACATACAGCTCTGTGGATAAGAAATGCTTCCTTGGCTCCTGTGCTCAGGTGGGGCCATGGCCTGAGACCACCTGCATTTCCTGCTGTCTCACTTGCTCCTGAGGCTCTTTGGGGCCCCAGAGCCTGATCTTCCCTCAGCTCCTGTAACTAGTTCTGCTGCCCCCACCTTCCTCCCTCTGCCCTGCTCTAGAGGGACCCCACTCACCCAGAGCAGGGGCAGTGGAGGCAGTTTCCCTGCCCTGCTCACTTTGACCCATCTCTGGAGCTCCTTGTGGCTGTACTCTGTGCTCACAGCCCCACATCCTAGGAGTTGGTGCCTGGGCCTTGAGGTGTGACTCGCCCCACCCCCTGGCCCCACAAAGACTAAGAACAGGATTGAAACCAGTGGCATGGCTTGCTTCCTGGAGTTCCCTATTTTCTGGGTAATTTCTGCATCAAGGGGCCTGGGGGAGTCCAGACTTGACCAAGGTCACCTCATGTGGGTGTGCAGGGGTGGGGTAAAGCAGTCATCAGGCCCCAGCAGATGGTGTGGGAACCTGGCCATCACATGCTCTACCCCCATGGGGATGGTTTCTCCCCACGTCCTCTGGTGCTCCCATC